AAGCAGCGTGGAGGTGGAGACCATCCTGTACGGCCACCCAGCGGTGAACGAGGCGGCGGTGGTGGCGCGACCGGACGAGTTCTGGGGGGAGACGCCGTGCGCGTTCGTCGGCCTGAAGGAGGAAGCGTCGGCGGCGCCACCGACAGAGAGCGAGGTGATCGCGTGGTGCCGAGAGCGCATGCCGCGCTACATGGTGCCGAAAACGGTGGTGTTCCGAGCGGAGCTGCCGAAGACGTCGACGGGGAAGATACAGAAGTACGTGCTAAGGGAGATGGCCAAGGAGATGGGCTCCGCCATTCGGCCGGGTCGAATGTAGTCCACGACTCGGACCGAGTCGGCCTCGCAGAACAATTACTCCATCTACCCGCACATCCGTGACCCTGACGGCTAGCTTCTTATGATCGGAGGCAATGGCGGCTCTATCTCGTCCTCCATTCACAAGACCCGTGGGTGCATAAGTCACGGGTGATCTTTAAGGCAAATCAATAAATTATTGGTCAACACAGGTGGGTCCAGTTAGTGTCAACAACTTTAAGCCGTGGTCTCGGAACCAACACGGCTCGGTTCGAATCCGAATGGGTGGAGATCTTCCTAGACGACCCCGAAGACCATTGAGGCAACCGGCTTTGCTTGGTGCGATCTCGATGGGGCCGTCGTTCGCTCCGAGATGGGACTCCTCTCCTAGGCGTTCGGGGAAGGTGGTCCGCCTTCGTATCTGCACACAGGTCGGGTCGGAAAAGCTCAGCCCGACCCCTCCGACGATAAAGTTAGTGAATAGTCGCAGGGGGTTTTAGTTCTTTTTCTCTCTCTTTTCCCCCTCAGAGCGCGAGGGTTTTTATAGTGAAGGTTACCATTGCCTGATGTGCCCGCTTGCAGGGAGCAAGATCGTACTCCTGGTAACGTCTGACAGCGATGTTGGCATGGTGTGAAGGATCGAGCCTGAGCAGGATGTTAATGTGCCTCGGCCGACATTTCGGTATGTTTAACCAGGTGGTGTCAGGTCAACCGAGGCATGAGGCGTCATCTGGGGCAGCTGACGTCAACTCGAGTCTTATCGCCATTATTACCCTCAACATATTCCCTCCCCCCTTTGTAGTTCGTACAGAACTGTTGGAATCGCGCATTGGCGAACTAGGCCCCGTTGTATGTGATGATAGTCCTTGGCAGGCTAAACCGAGTCACGATATTTTTCCACACAAAATTTTCTACCTGATGTTTCGTGATTGTTGCTAGCGGCTCGGCTTCAATCCACTTCGTGAAGTAATCCACTCCCACGACAATGTATCTTCACTGCCACAAGGCTACGAAAAAGGTCTGAGGAGGTCCAATCCCCATTGTGCGAATGGCCACACACAGTCAATGGGGGCGAGCGGAACCGCGGGCTGCCGGGGCGTTCAGGCGTGCCTCTGGCACGGGCCACACCGCTGTACGTAAGATCTTGCATCTCGGGACATGGTGGGCCAATAGTACCCTTGGCGAAGGATTTTGTACGCCAAGGTCCGCCCAGCGATATGTTCTCCGCAAATCCCCTCGTGAACCTCGGCCAGGACCGTCCGAGATTCTTCGGGCTCGAGGCACCGCAGGAGAGGATGTGAGAAGGACCGCTTGTAGAGCTGTCCGTTCACATCGGAGTACCATGCATGCATTCGGCGTATGCGCCGTGCCGCGGTCTCGTCGGCGGGAAGAATCTCGTCACGCTTGAAGTGCAGCATCTCCTGCACCCATGTAGTTCACGCATCGGTCGAAGACACGGCCGAGATCAAGATAGCTCGGAAAGGGAGCTCTTCGATCTCGGGCTGGACTTCGAGGTTCGACCTTGAGGCAAGTTTGGCTAGCTCATCGGCTCACTCGTTTTGACTCCTCGGCACCCTAGATATCATAAAGCGAGAGAAGTCGGAGGCAGGCTTTTTACCTCTGCCAGGTATTTTGCCATAATAGGTTCCCTGGCCTCGTATCTACCGCTGAGTTGCTTGGCCACCAGCTGCGAATCAGTGAGGACGTTAATAGCATTCACCTGCATCTCGAGGGCCAGCCCGAGTCCGGTCAGGAGTGCCTCATATTCGGTTTCGTTGTTGGTAGCTTGAAACCCGAAGCGGAGGGAGCGTTCAAATGAGCGTCCGTCGGGGGCTGATAACACCAATCCTGCGCTTGCGCCACTCGAGGTAGCCAATCCGTCCACGTGCAGGACCCATGCCTCCCCAAGCTGTTCAGAATCCTCATCCTCAATCTGAGCCAGTTCCGAGATGAAGTCGACTACCGACTGGGCTTTGATGATAGTCCTCGGCACGTAGTGTATGTCGAACTCTCCAAGCTCTACCGACCACTTGAGGAGCCGACCTGCAACATCAAATTTAGATAAAACCTGCCGGAGCAGTTGGTCGGTGATTACCTCAATCGGATGAGCTTGGAAGTAGGGGCGTAGCTTTTGAGCTATCAGCACGAGCGCCAGAGCGAGTCTTTCGATCGGCGGGTACCGCTTCTTAGGCTCGTTTAGGACATGGCTGATGTAGTAGACCGGCAACTGGTCACCTGGGGCTTCTTTTGTCAGGACGAAGCTAACAGCGTGCCGGGAGGTGGCCAGGTAGATACTGAGCTTCTCCCCAGGAGAGACCGATGCAAGGCGGGGAAGGCTGGCGAGGTGTTGTTTCACATGTACGAAGGCTTCCTCGCATTTCGCCGTCCATTGAAGGTTACTCGGGTTTTTCAAGGCCCGGAAGAAGGGGAGGCAACGATCACCAGATCGGGATAGAAACTGGGATAGGGCGGCGAGCCTCCCGTTAAGTTGCTGCAAGTCCTTGATTGTCCGAGGGGTTTGCATACCGATGATCGCTTGAACCTTTTCTAGGTTGGCGTCGATTCCCCTCTCGTGGATGATGAATTCGAGAAATTTTCCCGGGCTGACACCAAAAACGCATTTTGTCGGGTTGAGTCGTAGGCCATATCTTCGCAATGCAGCAAACATTTCAGCCAAATCGGTCAAGTGGTCTGCTGTCGCACGACTCTTTACGATCATGTCGTCGATGTAGATCTCGATGTTCCTCTCGATCTATTGGGTGAACATTTTGTTCACGTCTCTCTGATACGTAGCACCAGCATTCTTCAGCCCGAACGGCATAACCTTGTAGAAATATACCCCCAGGTCGGTGAGGAAGGTCGTGTGCTCTTGGTCATCGGCGCCATTCTGATCTAATTGTAGCAGGAGAAGGCGTTCATAAACGAAAGGCGAGTATGCCCAACGGTTGCATCGACCAACTAGTCGATCCTCGGGAGGGGGTAGCAGTCTTTTGGGCATGCACGATTGAGACTGGTGTAGTCAACACACATCCTCCAGCTCCCATTAGTTTTCTTCACAAGGACTACATTGGACAGCCATCGCGGGTATTTGACTTCTTCTATGAAGCCTGCTACTAAAAGTCGCTCCACCTCTTCGTGGATAGCCAATTGTCTGTCAGGAGCTTGTCGTCGGGGCTTCTGCTTTATTGGTCGAGCATCGGGCGCTATGCTCAGGTAATGTTGGGTCGTCTTCGGGTCGACGCCTGTCATGTCGGATGGTGACCAAGCGAAGACGTTGGCGTTCTCCTGTAGGAAGCCGATGAACTGCCTTCTCTCTTGCTCGGGGAGTTCCGACCCGATTCTGATCGTCCGGTCCGACCGATCCTCCACTAACGGCAAGTCGCAAGTTGGCGCCGTCAGCTCGGGATGTTGGGTCGGCTTCTTCATTTCTCGGGGATCCCCCAGGGGTTGCTTAGTTCTCGCCCATTTGTGTAGTGAGACTGCCGTCAAGTAACACCGCTTGGATTCACGGGGACTTCCCCGGACTTCTCCGGCCCCAGCGTGGGTCGGGAACTTCACCGTTTGGTGGTAAGTGGAGACGACGGCCCTGATTTTGTTAAGGGTTGGGTGACCGAGGATGGCGTTGTATGCAGTGGGGAGGTCGACCACTAAGAAGGTGGACATCACCGTCTTCGATCTTGGTGGTGCTCCCAAGGTTAGGGGTAAAGTGACCACTCCCAACGACGAAATCGAGTCGTCGGTGAACTCGGTGAGCGCCGAGGTCATCGTCTCCAAAGTTTCTCTGGCTAACCCAAGCTTCCGGAAGGCGTCGAAATAAAGTACGTCGGCTGAGCTCCCTGTGTCGATCATAATCCTCCTTACTTAGCGTTGGCAATCCTGGCCGTTATGACAAGTGCATCGTCATGTTCGGACCGCCCGGCCCCTTCGGCAGGAAATGTGACCTCGGGGTCGGGTCTATGCCTCGGCCACGGTAGCCCGGGCGTATGCCTTCCGTCCGGACATACTATTCCCCCCGATCGCTGGGCCGCCAGTGATCACATTGATCAGACGCTCGACAGGACCCTTTAGGCGGGGGGAAAGCTCCTCGCCCTGCTAGAGCTACCGACCGAGGTGCCCTTTGCGGATGAGCTCCTCAATCTGTCGCTTCAATTCGCGACACACCTCAGTGTCGTGCCCGCTTTACCGATGAAAACGACAATACTTCGACCAATCCGCGAGTTCCCGCGGATTTCTCATCGGGTTGGGGGTTCTGAGCAACCATTTGTCTCTTCTCTGGAGAAATATATATGTTCGGGACGCACCCGAGGAGGGGAGTCGAGATGTTAATGCTAGCGGGTCGGGGCGGTCCAATCTGCACCTCGGTGTGGTAGACTGTTGCCCGCGGGACGGCTCTGTCCTGACCCTTTTGTGTTCCTCCCGCTTCCCGGCCATCCAGACCTCTGCCGCAATGAACTGGTTTGCCCGTTGGAGCATCTCCGGGACCGCGGTGGGGGGTCATTCCACCAAGGACCAGAAGAATCTGGAGGGCCGCAAGCCTATCATAAAAGCCTGCATCAACAGAGAGGGATGAGCGTCCGGCAACCCCCGGATTTGCGTAGTAAAACGATTTACAAAGTGGGAGAGGGGCTCGTCCTCCTTTTGGTTGAGTCTGAGGAGCAGTGTCACGGACGGCTTTGGCCGGGCGCAGGCCAAGAAGTTAAGCTCGAAATCTTTGACGAGCTGATCAAAGGAGGCGATTGTCCCGGTCTTCAGGCCGCTATACCATGAGCGGGCCGGGCCTTTTAGAGTCGTGGGAAACGCCCTGCACATCAAGGCGTCCGAGGTTCCATACAACGACATTTGAGCGCAGAAAGCGGCTGCATGGTCTGATGGATCGGTGGCTCCATCATACGAGTCAAGAGAGGGGAGCCGGAAGCTCGGGGGAACTATTTGATCTTGTATCTCGAGTACGAACGAAGACCCCTGGTGTGTATCCCTCCCGAGCTCTCCCTTCGACCTACGAACCTCCTTCTGCACTTTGTCGAGCCGCTGACCAATAGAGCGCAGCTGGGCTCGTAGGGAGTCTATTGAATCCGAAGATAATGCTTTGGATTCTAGGTGCCCGCTCGGGTTTGCAATCGCCCGATCCCTGAGTGGGGCTGATCGGACCCGAGGCGAAGTGGGGAGCTCCGGAGGTGGCGTGTGAGCCCGAACGGGCGGCTCCTGTTGCCGCAGCGGTTGGATCGCAGGTGGGTGCAGCGGACGAGAAACAAGTGGGATAATGGACTGCACGATACCGGTCAGAGTTCGGACTTGATGAGTGAGGTCCTGAAAGGCCTCTGACGACACGGGCGACGGGTTGGCTATGGCATCATCGGGTGGCGACAAGCCCGGGTCGTTGAATATCCGCCAATAGCGCTATGAGGTCGTGACAGGGTGTTCATCGCGAGGTTCTCCATACAGGGGGGTGTTCCCCCGGAGCCCCGATCGAGTGTGACCCCTCAGCTGCGGGTTTGTCTGAGTCGATCGGTCGATCCCTCGACATTCGAGCCCTCCTTCTAGCGTCAAAATGTTAGTGTCAACAACAACTTTAAGCCATGGCCTCGGGGCTAACAGGGCTTGGTTCGGGTCCGAATGGGCGGGGATCTTTCTGGATGACCACGGAGACTGCTAAGGCAGTCGACTTTGCTTGGTGCGATCCCGACGGGGCTGCCATTCGCTCCGGGATGAGACTCCTCTCCTGGGCATTCGGGGAAGGCGGTCTGGCTTCGTACTTGCACATAGGTCGGGTCGGAAAAGCTTGGCCCGATCCCTCCGACGATCAAGTTAGTGAATAGTCGTAGGGGGTTTTAGTTCTTTTTCTCTCCCTTTTCCCCCTCGGAGCGCGAGGGTTTTTATAATGAAGGTTACCGTTGCTATGTGCCCGTTTGCAGAGAGCAGGATCGTACTCCTAGTAACGTATGACAGCGGTGTTGGCGTGGCGTGAAGGACCGAGCCTGAGCAGGATGTTAATGTGCCTCGTCCGACGTTCCGATTTGTTTGACCAGGTGGTGTCAGGTCAATTGAGACGCGAGGCATCATCTGGGATAGCTGACGTCAATCCGAGTTTTATCATCATTGTTATCCTCGTCAGATCCTTGGAAGGGTCCAATATACGTTGTTTGTATGCTTGATGTTGACCGTATGATAATTAAACTTGTACTTGCGTTACTACATATGCCTCGGTGGTCCAATCGCTTAAGGAAAGGACGTACTTCCGAGGATGAATCGACGTCACGAGGGGGATATGGTTGAAGGACAGAAGCACTTCCCCTTCGCCGTGGGGGCCAGAACTCGGGAATATTAGCTGAATCGACGTCACGAGGGGCCCTGCGCCGTGGGGGCCAGAACTCGGGAAGATAAGGACGAGGACGACCGCAACCAAGTCAATGGCGTGATAGGATACCGCCTCGTTGTTTGTACGGTGTTGTTTGTTTGTTGGTTGGATCCGATAGATAGTTCGAAGATTTCACATAATTAATTTTCACTTTCTTCTAATTATTGCCGAAAATCATCATAAAAAGACCTATATAATATCCTATTTTTACTTTTTTGCTAATAATATTTTTAAATTGTTAATTTTTTATTCTAATTTAAGTATCAGAAAAAATATCTTTATTGGATGCACATAATCGTACAGAAAATTTAGTCGGGCTCGAGTATATTCTAGCACCCAGATTTGTGATAGATTTAAATATTAAATTTAGATTGGTTTCGAATCTCTAGGCACATCAAACAATACTAAGAACCTGAATCAGTAAGGAAGAAGTCGATGAGATCAAACTTGCAATGAGTTTATATGGTTTTGGTAAGCAATTTGTTATGGAAAGGTATTATGGAACTCTACGCTTAGTTCTATCGTGACAAGGATGTAGGGTCACCCACACGAGGATCCGATAATGTGACGGAGGAACCAAGTCAAGTCAGGGAGCACCTCATCGGTCGACTCAAGGTGGGCCATTGATTGCCGCTCCTCCCTCTTGAGAAAAGTCAACATCAGGAGAAGGATTTTCTGACTTGATCCATTTGAAATTTAAGTTAGCTCGAGATAGTACATAGATGTTTGAGGTATGCTCCCCTTGTCAGTGGGGAGGGAATTGGTTTTTATACTTGTTTGTCGAATGATTGATCGTATGAGGCTCATTAATAATCTATGATACCTCGAGAGGCCAACCCATGCTTTCCGTACGGCTCGGGTTGACCTGCACGGCTTTGCGCCGTATGACACTACCCTATGTTATCGTGGATGGCTTAAGGTAGGATAGCATCGTCTCACAGAGTACGAGCTGACTTGCACGATTTCTGCTGCCCTCAATTTCGAGATGCTTTGTTAGCAAACGTGTAGCAGGTCGACCATGAGATGGGTGTCGCCCGTTCAGAATTCAAGTCTTGTTTTCATTATTCATCCATTATAAAAATATAAGTATAAAATACTTAAAAAGTAAATTCTCATAATGTCATGAATCCGCAGTACGAGTTAAGAAATTCGAACAAATATTTTTTAAAAATATATTTTTGTCCTTTAATTCATGATGACATGGCAAGATTGATCGATTGAGTTCAACGTGTCGAAATCTGACCGGATCGTGATCAATAAGTACGTAACAAGATTAGGTCAGATGTGATGGGTTGGGCTTTTAGGACACCGTGCACAAACCCGACCCGGTTTGGTTTACGGAGCTCGGTCCCGAGCCGGCACATACAAATCTCTCACCCGAATCGTTTACCGGTGTGTCGATCGATTGATACGCGTTGTGCCGACGTGGGGCCGCATCTCATGCTCTTCTTAGTTGGAGAAGGCTAAAGGGTGCGTTTCGTCGACCCGCTGGTTTAGAAGATAAGAGAAATCTAAAGAAGGATGCGGTTCGAGTTGACACCGTTGGATACGCCGTCGAAGTCGAGTCGGTGTTGGGTTCGTAATTTTGCTGCGACGTGCATCGCCCGTTTGGAGCGCTCTTCTTCGCTTCTCCGGTTCGCCGCCTGGCTAACGGATAGGGTTGGGTTCCCATAACCCTACCGCGGGGTACCGGAGAAGGCGATATGATCCGACGAATAGGTGCGCACCAAGCATTCGATGAAATGCCTGTACGTCGAGCCTCTTCCTTTTTATTTCATGTTCTTCTCGCCGGAGGGTGACCTATCTTTAGGCTTTTACTTATGGATGGACCTCCCTCTCCTCTTCTAACATGCCATGAATCCCTTATTTCGGTTGAATTTTTGATGCAATTTCTCATATTTCTTTGATTTGAAGCTGGTAATATGATAGTGTCTGATGTGCAGACCACCCTTCGGTGCTCAATGGTGTGAAAAGATTTCCTGTCTAATATACTGTAGACGTTCTTCCAGTTACAAGAACGGGATTCGGGTTGCCTTCGTGGGGCACGAGGCCGGCATCGAGCTTGCAGATGGATCTTCCTCTCTGTTCACCTCTGAGACTAACCCCGACGGCTCGGTTCCCACCATCGAACACATTGAGGGCTACTTGCTCCGTCTCCGGTTCGACGAAGAAGAACAGAGTCATCGTGATCTCCGGCCCCACAGGAGCGGGAAAGAGTAGGCTCGCATTAGAGCTAGCGAAGGCACTCGATGGGGAGATCGTTAGCGCTGATTCCGTGCAAGTGTACCGTGGACTTGATGTCGGATCGGCCAAGCCTTCTACGTGGGACAGAAACGAAGTGCCTCATCACTTGATCGACATCTTGCAACCCTCGGACGATTACTCTGCCGGGCAGTTCTTTGAGGATGCCAGGAGAGCAACCGAGGGCGTTGTAGGAAGAGGCCGAGTCCCAATTGTTGCCGGAGGGACTGGACTCTATCTAAGATGGTACATATATGGAAAGCCACACGTTCCAAAGGCGTCGTTCGCGATTTCGAACGAAGTATGTGCAGAGCTCATGGAATTGCAGAACAGTAAGCAGTGGGATGCAGCTGTGGATTTAGTGGTCAAGGCCGGTGATCCAAATGCTCGGTTTCTGCCCACAAATAACTGGTATCGGTTGCGGCGTAGTCTCGAGATCATCAGGTCCTCTGGAATGCCTCCTTCAGCTTTCAGTGTGCCGTATGATTCATTTCGCCAGCGTCTTGATTCGAGAGCATCGCACACCTCAGTCGTCGAACACCTACCTGATGCAAACAGCTCCCTGAACACCGCAAAGGACCTGGATTACAACTTCATTTGCTTCTTCCTTACGGGCCCGAGAATTGATCTGTATAGGTCGATCGACTTGAGGTGCGAAGACATGCTGATGGAAACCGAAGGGCTTCTCTCAGAAGCCTCGTGGCTGCTTGACATTGGCCTTCATCCGAACATGAATTCTGCGACTCGAGCAATTGGGTACAGGCAAGCCATGGAGTACCTGCTGAGCTGTAGGGAACAAGGAGGAAGAAGCACTCCTGAAGAGTTCCGTGCATTCTTATCCGAATTCCAAAAAGCATCTCGAAATTTTGCAAAGAGGCAGATCACATGGTTTCGGAATGAGCTTATCTATTACTGGCTTGATGCCTCGAGACCATTCGAAGAAGTCATCGATTTCATTTGTGATGCGTACCATGATCAAACGGGGAGATTGGTGGTGCCCGAGTCGCTTAAAATGAAGAAACACACCAATGGGCGACAGGAAACCTACGAGTTGAAGTCCTATCGAGCACAAGTTAAGCTGTTTAGCCGCGATCAAGATTGCGATCATGTTATGAATTGGATCAGAAGCACCCAGCGTCGTTAAGGTACGAGTTTATGAGAAATTGATAAGTCAGTGTTTTCGCCTTTCTGTCAGAGTATGTGAGTTATCTTGTCAATTGAATTTTGTCAACCAGTTAGAAAATGCATGCCAGAATGATTTTGTTAGTGTGATTAATGAGGTTCTTATGCTTTAGTAGTAGTGTGGTAGTGATGTCCAATATATTTCTCATTTAGTCACTGCCATCTCTATAAACCTACTGTTCTGCATCTAAATGCTGCACAATGAATGTGGCCACACACTCCAAATTCCTCCAAGAACTTGTAGCATAATTTATTGTGAAGTGAATTCAAGAGCAAAGAGTCTCCTTTGTGCCATTTTTGCCTGTTATTTAAGGATATGATTAAGTTGCCTTTTCATGGAAAAAGAAATTGAATAAACTGAGGAAAATTCTTGAGCTCAGTTCTTCTTCTTTCATCTTCTCATGTATAACCTCATGCATTTTTGACTTCCTTGTAGCCAGAAACTTGGATAAATTAGGATGCTCTAAAACAAACAAGGAACAAAAGACACAGATCAGTTAAAAAGGATTTGGCTGACAACATGTTGTGCTATTCTATAAATAAAACAGGAAAATAGATCACAAGATAGCATAGCTTTGGTTTAATACCAGAAAAACTACTATTCTGTGCATTCAACCAAACAGTTATCATGCATTTATGTGGAGATCTATTGCATGTAGTGCACCATAAATCTCTCTCATGCTCGGGTGCCAATTCACTCCTACCAGGAATTCGTGGACGGTCCCATCCAGCTCGAACCAACTCCATCCTGGGCGGTTCTTGACGCCTCTCCCCTTCATCACCCTTCGGATCTCCACCACTTCCCTCCATTTGTTCTCAGAAGCATACATACTTGATAACTGCACATAAGCTCCGGTGTGGCTAGGATCCAACTCGAGCATCTTTCCTGCAACGACGTCTGCAAGCTCTGCGTAGCCATGGCTTTTGCAAGAACTCAGTAGAGCTCCCCAAGTTGCCACGTCTGGTTCGATATGGGAAGCAGCTCTAACAAGATCACATGCTTCGGGAACATGCCCAGCTCTTCCCAGCAGATGAACCATGCAAGATAAGTGCTCGGTGCGAGGAGTAATCCCATAGGATTCGGTCATCTTATCGAAGAAGGCTCTTCCTTCTTCGATCCATCCAGCATACGCACAAGCCGATAAAATTGCAACGAAGGTGGTGCTACTTGGCCTTGTGCCATCCTTGGACATCTCCGAGAAGAGCTCGAGGCATTCGGCTGCTTTCCCGTGAATGGCCAATCCCACCAGCATCACATTCCATGAGACCTGGCTCTTGTGCACCATCCTCGCGAACAGAGAACGAGCCGTATCTAAACAGCCACACTTGGCGTACATATCCACAAGCACAGTGCTCAAGACGGTGTCATGGCAGAGCTTGCTCTCGTCCAAGCTCAGGTGTATTTGCCGCCCCAAGTGAAGAGCACCTAGATGAGCACAAGCAGTGACGGTGCCGGTAATAGCTGCTTCGTTGGTTGCTACACCGGCGTCGATCATCTCCTTGTACGTGCTCAAAGCCTGCTCGAAGCGATCGTTTTGCACGTACCCATTGATCAGTGAACTCCAGGACACTTCATTCTTGTTTGGTGTTTGATCGAACAGACTCTGTGCAGCCTCCATGTCGCCAGTCCTCGCCGACCCAGCAACCATGGAGTTCCAAGAAACCACATCTTTGTGGGGCATCTCATCGAACAATTTCCAAGCATCATCGATGCTCCCACACTTGTTGTACATGTCGATCAATGAATTGACCACATTAGTGTTGTCCTTCACCCCCCTCTTGCATGCTAATCCTTCCAGTATCCTACCCAAGCTCAGATCACCCAGCTGCGAACAAGCGGTGCATGCAGCCACAATGCTAATCCCGTCAGGCCTCACGTTTGCTTCCATCATTCGAGAGAACAGGTCGACAGCCTCCTTAGCACGGCCACTACGAACGTAACCATTTATCAGCTCAGTCCAAGCAATTTGATCTCTGTCAGGCAATTCATCAAACACGTCGTGAGCAGATCCGACGGACCCACAAGCAGCATAGCCGTGGATCAACGAGTTCAGCACCAGAGTATCGGATCGAAAGCCGAATGCTATAGACTGAGCATGAACACCCATAACCAAACCAAGAGCTTTGAGATCGGGACATGCTTTGAGAACAAGGGAGAGGGTGACACCGTT